TAGGAATCGAATGTTTTTTAAACCATTCAAATCGGTTGATCCGTTCTCTCAAAAACTCGCTTTCTATTTTTTGCACTCTTTGCTCCATATCTCCGTAACGGCTGGACCTGCCTTTGCCAAAAACTAATCAGCACATCTCCCTATCAACAGAAATCGAATGTTTTTTAAACCATTCAAATCGGTTGATCAGTGCGCCCGAAAGCGTGGACGAAAAAACGCGGACATACAAAACACACACACACACACACATCCATTTTTTCTGAAGTATGCCAAAATGTTCAGAAACTTTCAAAACGTCGAGAAATGTAAAATTTTTGATTTCGATTTTTGGACGATTACTATAACTTACCCTACGGGAAGTTAAAAAAATAAATCTTGAAATAAAAAAACCCCTTTTCCCAAATGCAATTGTTTCGTCAATACAAGCAAAAAGTTTTTTGAATCATTCAAATCGGATGCTCCGTTCTCTCAAAATCTAGCATTTTTTGCACATATCTCCAAAACGGCTCCATCTGTCTTTGCCAAAAACTAATCACCACTTTTCCTCATCATTACAAATTGAATGCTTTTTAGATCATACAAATCGGATGCTCCGTTATTTTCTTTCAAAAACCCGATTTCTATTTGGGGAGATGTGCTGATTAGTTTTTGGCAAAGGCAGCTCCAGTCGTTTCGGAGCAAAGGGTGCAGATAATAGAAATCGAGTTTTTGAGAGAAACGACCATCCGATTTGAATGATTCAAAAAACATTCAGTGGTGATGAAGTCTTTGGCATAAGCAGGTTCAGGCCGTTTCGGAGATACGCAGCTAAATGTGCAAAAAATGCAGTTTTGAGAGAAATAAGCATGCGATTTGAATGATTCAAAAAACTTTCCGCTTGTGTTGACGAAAACGATTGTTTTTGAAAACGATTTTTTTTTTGGTTGAAAATTTTTTTAAGTACCAAAAAAATGATATTTTTGATTATCGAAAATAATTCGGATTATCATCAAAATTTTAATTTGGTACGGAAAGTTGCAGCAAATTGAATCCACCAGTTGAAATCTGTTTAGGATTTTGCTCAAAAAATTTTGCTCTATTACTAATGGATCAGTATAAATGGCATTAATGGATCAAAAATTGTAATTTATTTGTTTGAAATATTACAAATGAGTACGGTTTAATAAGAAAAATGCAATTTAATAAAATTTGAAAAATATCTGTAAATCATAACAAAAATATAAAGTAATATTTATATAAATTTAATCATAGTACTAAATATTTGAACAGTAGTAATAAAAATTTACAATGCAAATAAAATATAAGTAATTCATAGATATTTCACATGCAGGGTTAGTTTCTGCTGTCAATATTTCATTGACCTCCATCACGTTTCCACTATGTACATTCAACTTGTGTCTCTTCAAGTTGCTCGATTGTGCAAATTCCTTATTGCATGTATCACATTTGAAAGGGCGTTCTCCTGTGTGAATACGCATGTGCCTATTCAAGTCACTCG